AGGCCCTGGGAGTAGCAGAGGGGCTTCAAAAGAGGGAGGAATGTATGGTATTTCTCTAGGATCTTCTTGGTTAGTCCCCTCAATACGGCAGTGGGTAGTGAGAAGAAACCACATCAGAAGGTTTGCTAAACTGCTGAGGAGGAAACTGGGAAATTGGACTTACAAGAACTGAGGAAGAGGTTACAAAATTTTTACCAGAGGCCCAAAAGGTAAGCAGCACATAGAGGCTAACATGCATCAGTCTTATAGGTTTGATAGAGGTGGTGACTGCATCTCATCCCATTGCTGGGAGATCATTCAAAATCTAAAGCAGTTGATTAATTGCACAAGGAGGAAGCAGAGGGTTCAGCAAATATAAGTCCTTGCAGGCTAAGTTCCTATAATTAAAAAAAAAATTACTTGTAGTCCACAGCCATTATTTCTGTTTCTCTGTGGAGCCCTGACTAATATTTGTGGCTTTTCCCAGTTAAAATAGATTCTTTTAAATTGCATGCTAAAGAAAATTATTTTGTTAAACACCACTCAATTTTAATCAATAATATATGCAAGCTGTCTGGACAGATACATATATTCATGTCATAATATTTCCTAAGAAGGTTGTCCATGTAGGTCTGGGAAGCAACATTACCCTCACTTGAAAACCCCACTTCATTTATACAACACGTCAACTCTCCTTTTCCAGTGGATTTTCAACACAGTATGTTGCAAAAATAATTCTGGAGCTTAGTTCCATTGAATATATTTTGTGTAGACTCAAGATCAGAGCTGTCTGTTGTAATCACCTGCATTGCAGATGTCAAAAGTAGAAGTGAAGAGATCCACAGATGTGGTTGATATCAAAATTAAAAGAAAGCTTATATATCTGCAGCACATCCACGGAATAGCTGGCCTACTTTGCTTGCACAGTTCACGAGATGAGGGAATGATTACTTGTTTAGAGTGCTCTTCCTAGCTTTGGGCAGTGCTGCCTTTCTCTTAGATCTATCTACATGAAGCTACAAAGTAAATAACATCTAATATTTCTTCCTCAGTTATCCCTTCAGATACTTGTTGACATCTCATGGCTCTCTGTTTCATGTGTATCTCCGTCAGATTAAAGTTCTCAGTCTTCAGAAATTGCCTTTAAAATGTTCATCTCTAAATCATGAAGTCTATAGATATGGTCTGACTTTGTCAGAGTACAAGATAGCTACAATTAGTCTTATTCAAAATATTATCATTCTAGACACTGTGTTGACACTACTATATGCCCATACCTGTGTCTTTAAAATAAAGTAAATGCTATGATAGAACAGAAGCATGAGAGGAGGAAGTGATACTAAAGGCAAATTAGGTTTAAGCAGAGTCAGACCACAGTACATTTGTCAAGCACATTCTAGATACAATAAACCTCAGGGCTACAGAATCTGAAATGTCCTGAGAATTAGCTCTAACGTGCTAAGCAATCTAGCCATTAGCAATGTTACCTTTTAGCAGAAACCACCTAAAACTCTTCTTTTGCTAGATTCTCTCTTGGTGCAACTTTTTTAAGAACCCACTTTTGTTTGTGAGAAAGAACATGTAGAGAGACAGGGGAAAACTTATGATTATCTTGAAGCTTTTCAGCCTCACTGGTTAGGATAAAAAATTAAGTGATTACAAAAATGTTCTGCATGGACAATTTTGCATAGAGGTATAGATTTTGCTTTTGAAGATATTAAATTTTAACTGACTTTTCAAAATTTAAGTGAAGTTATTAGATAGGAGGCTCTATGTGAATCTGTAGTCTTGAGACCTGGAATGGGAATAGGTAGAAGCTTGGGAGGCATTGGCATAGAGTGAACTAGGAGAGTTATGATGATGATGTCTTAAGATATAAGGCAGAGGTTTGTGTATGGGATGTCTCAATATCACTACTGACTATTTCTTAGTTATCAGTTTATAAAACTGACATACCATTCAGTCACATACAATAAGAATGTATCATTTTACTATAAATCTACAAGTTGACTAGAATTCAACCAATTAAAGCAAGACTGCTTGAGCATGGCTCTAAGTTTATGGTGTACCCTTGCTTCTTAGTTATTTTGTACAACTGTCTTATGATATTTATTCTCCTTTCATCCATGCAACATCTACTGACAGTTGTTTTGACAAAGCATGTCACATGGATGAGCCCACTAAGATTTGGCAGGCAATAGCACTTTTCTATAATATTTAACAAAAACAAATATTTAAATTAAAAATGTCACTGGGTAATTTTCTACCTTCTGGGGGACCACAGGGAACAGCTGTGCAATTTAATTCACATCTTGATGAGATTACAATTTCCTATAATATTTCATTTACTAACTAGAATCTAGGCCCACTGTTAGTACTACAGCTTTTAAGTTTTCACTTAACAGTAGCCCAATAGTGTACACTAATCATCTGATTAGTAATCTATTACTACAGAACATTACTTACAGTGGATTGGACCCTCCTTAGTTAGCAATGGAGAAAATACTCCACAGATGTGACCATGAGCCAAGCTGAAGCAAGCGATTATTCAGTTGAGGTGCCTGTTCTCAGGTGTCAGCTTCACACCAAGATTAGTCATCACGCCCACTGAAACACCACAGCAAACAAATTCTTCTCCCTTTTTTTTTGTCAATGTTATTTCACCTGTATTTGATTTCATGGACAACAGATTCTTTCACAAAGGAAGGGAAAATAAAAGACAGTCTGTCACCCCTTCTTCTCAGCATTGGTATTTATAGAAAAAAGGAAGCCCATTGGAATAGGGGACAATGACCTGGGAACCTACCTTCCCTGGTCCTAGCCATGTCAGCAAGCCTGTCATATACTCTCACTCCATCAAGACTGGAGGAATAAGAGGAGAGAGGTGTTATCAGATCAGAGAGAGAGAGAGAGAGAGAGAGAGAGAGAGAGAGAGAGAGAGGTGGGGGAATGAGAGCAGGGCTGTTTCTGAGCTTTGTATGACACTGTTGCAGCCCACCCTTCATAGCATCATGGTCAGTGCCAAGAAAAAGTTATGATTGCCTCCTCTCCTCTCTCCTTCTTATCTTCATCAGTGTTCATTAATGTTCAGGGATGCAGGCAACCAGCAGCCCCGAGAGCCAGAGCCTGGAGTCTTAGGGCCAGGGCGAGTGGATGAGGAAGAGCACATTTCAGCCTCCCAGGTGGTAATAGAGTTGGGTAGTTAGTACAGGAGGTACCTGTCAGGCAGCCAGGTTGTTTACATGTTCAATAAAACCCAGTGATGTCATTAGATTATAGGCATGAGACTAGATGCAGGAAATGGGAATGCCCAAGTTCTCTTCTGCTCTGCTGTCTAAGATACTGGCTGAATTTTCAGACTACATACAGAATCCCAAGACCCTGAGTATATAATCTCCATTCCACCAGTTCTGCAACTATGTGGAGAGACAAGGTAGGTCTTCCAGCCTGAAATGGGCCTTATTTCTCTTTGGTAAATTATCCTCACTTAAGAACTCTGAGCCTCAGTTTCCTCATCTTTAAAAGAAAAGCAGTACCATCTTCACCAGTTATAGAAAGGAAGAGATAGCAAGGGCTTTGGAATTACATGACCTGGTGTCTAGTCACAGATCACCCACATACAAGTGTCCTGCTGACCTCACAGCCCACACTTTAAGGCAGGGATGGTAAGTGCAGCTCCCTGGTAAGGAGATTAGTTGGTAGATTATATGAAGTAATGCAAATACTTCTCATACCTGGATTATTGAGGAGAAAAGAGGGTCTTGAGGATTTGGCTCCTTTCTTTGGTTCCTAGGTACACATCTGTGGTCAGTGAGGTCACTTACCTTTTCTCTCTCCCCAGTTCCTAGCTGCACAAGCAGGAAATAGAATATATACATTAGATCTAGAACATACCATGGGCATCATTGTGTCACCCCATTCCCCCTGCCTTAGGAAACAGCCCATACTCTCCCCTTCTCAATATAATAATATTTCCTTTCATGCTTCATTAAGCAGATACTTATTAAAGTATCTTGAACTCTGGAAGAAGTTGCTATGTTATGATAAAATACTCTGGCAAAGAAAACTTAATAAAACAAGAGTTTATTTGGCTCACATCTCCAACTTACAATTCATCATTGCAATGAATTTAAGGTGGCCAGATCTTGAAGCAGAGTCACAGTATATCCATAGACAAGAACAGTGGGGGATGAATTAGTGCATAAAAGCTAGTATTCAGCTGGCCCTCTCCATTTTAGAGCAAACATTATTTGCTTAGGAAATTATTCTACCCAATATTTCTGTGCAGCTTCTACTAATCCTGGATGATTTATTTAAGGAATTTGTTTCAGTACTGGAAAATTCTCTGGCACAAATGTTATACTTTTAGTCTGAAATGGATACTAAAATTAATATGCGTTTTCTCAAATCAATTAACTAATGAAAATCCCTCACTGACAGTCAGAGACATTGTAAATCTCAATATCTCTCACTGCTGTTTCTGGAAGCCTGTGTCTCCTGTGTCAATTTGAAAAGTAATATGGACCATAACACATTCCAATGATTTGTATAAACTAATAGACTCATGATCTTCACTTGGAATACATTCATCACGACATAAATGAAGTTTTTCCAAAGATCTTTCCAAGAGGACAGCTGGTTTACTCCATCACTGAGCTGTTCTCACAAGCACATAATACATGCTTAAGTGAGAATCCTCAAGTAAGACTGGAGAGAATGGGCATCGAATCAACAGGAAGGGTCTTAGATTTAGGTGTTTGGAAAAACCCCCTTGGTGATGTACTAAAACAATATGTTTTGAGACCAAGTAAATCCAATAGGGTCCAGAAAAGGAGAAAGGAGTGATTTTCTTAGGCATATCTGACTCTCTCTAAAAATGCATGATAAAAACCCCATCCCTGCAGCTGCCCACAACACTGTGTCTCTATTTCAAAATAACCACTATGGTTCCTGTTTCAGCATTACATAGACAAAGCCTGTATTCAGAGTAAGGCATAGTACCTTTTATCTCTGCAGATCAGAACCTGGGATCTCACCAGCACAGACACTGGGCTGAGCAAACTCCTTAGCTCTCAACATGCTTGACCTTGACACTTGGCCACACACTCCTCACAGTGTCCTGCTGCTGACCCTACTGCTGAGACTCACAGGTGAGTAGATCCCAGGAGTACAGTCACCTCTCTGCCTCTGTCTACCCCTGCCAATGGAACTCGAGGACTCCAGGTAAGCAGAAGAACTG